TTAAATTTTCGAAACTCAATCAGTTTAATTAATCAGACTTAAAATACATCAGATTTAGAATAAGCTCTTCATCTGGCCATTATTTAACCTTTTAAATATTTCAAAATTACATAAAATACTAATTAGCAAAATTTAAATTTTTAAACTTGCGAAATGGATTGAAAAAAGGTTATATTGAGAAGATAATTAAATGTTGTATTAAAAGATCAAGGTGAAGTAAAACGAAATACTTATGTCAGCGAGTATTTCAGAAGTATAAAATTGATTCTCTTGAAATTTGCCCTGTAGTTACGTGAAATTATACCAATTACCTGGGCCGGTTCTGTTAAGTGACTGAACTTTAGTCCTTCTCATTCGGCTGATTTCCTGGCATTGAGAGACGCAATCTTCTACCTGGCTCAACGCCTACACTTTAAATCCTTTTCTCTCTGACACGTTCAAGTTTTTACTTTATTTTCTTAAAAATTACGTTATACTATCTTACTTCATCTAAATAAAATTGAGTTTCTATATTTGATGATCAACTTTAACAACGTAATTTTACTTTACCATCTTCTTTATTAGCCTCCAAAAGGTAACTTGATGATAAAATAAAAAACGAAGAAAAAATATTATTCATTTCTTGCAGAGTAGTTGGTGTAATTTCCCTTCCATAGAGGTCATTAATAGAAGTGAAGGAAAAATTATTGCAAAAATGAATTGTAGAAACTAACATTTCTCTTTATTATTAACTAGAAATATAAAAACAGTCATCTGACACAACATATGCCATTGTTATCTAACAAGTTAGCAGCTTTGATTACTCGTGGAATTGTACATTTTTTCAGATATGATGATAAATGAAGGCTGTCAAGAAGATCAATAAAAGGAAATCATTTTATCTTCATCAACTTCTTTTTTTCCTGTATTATTTATTATCAAAATAAATATTCATTAATATCAATTAATATTCTACAGGAGAAAGCAATTACAAAAAATCGAAATTGTTTCTGAATGATTTTAGGATGGAAAAAAAACTTGCAATTACGTCAGTGTGGTCATGATTCGATCATCAATTGTTTATTCCGTTGAACTATTCCCAAACCAGGTAGACATGGAAATTAATGAATAATTGATTAATTAACCGAACTATTTTAGAAATACTTTGTTTTATCAACGATTTTTTTACCACTGAAATGACACCAAACAATTACTTGTAATTCGATTTGAAATAGAAACTGGAATCATTGGAATTTTATTGAATATTTTCTGTAGTTATCTTAAAAAAATTTTTAAAACCACGTTTTATTTTGTAAACTTGATCAAATATTTTTCTTAAATAACGCGAGGAGAGAAAATAATAAATTTGAATAAAATTTCTTAAAAAAATGATAAAAAGAAGAAAGGTTTGAATGATTGTTTCATGTAATAAATGACATAAGCGTTGAAATTTCAACGATTCGAATGATGACACTCTTGTCATGATGATCGATGTCGACGTAGCGTGAGCACGCTCGATAATTTGTCTGTGGTTGAATGGTACGGTGATAACCCTCGATATTCCTATTATATTCCAGCGAAAATCTGCACCAGTAGGATAATCCTCTATCTGATTGGAAATACCGACAATACCTCCGGAAACGTATCTTCATGCTTCTATAGAATTATTTTGGCAATGCGGACATCGAAAGTCCATTTTATTTATGAACTTGATTGAATTAACATTAATTGATAATTTATACCATTATTACATAGTTCATTTCTCATCGGAAATTTCAACCGAATTACATGTAGAATAGAGTGAAGTTATTTCGTGTAATCGCCACAATTGATAATTATTTTTGCTGTTATAATTTATTGCTTTTTCATGTCTTTTTATTAGAAGATAAATAATACATAGGATTAGGGAAAAAATGAAATATTTTTCTTTCGGTTTTTTAATTTTTTTCAACGACATAACTGATAAAATTACACTACTTTCCGGTATATTTTTTCTTTCGTTTAAATGGCTAGCATTTTTAGAATTAACTTTTCATACTTTTTTTGTAAAAAATTTCACGCTTTACACAAAAAGGTCGGATGTATTTTCGTTATATCTATCATCGTTTCCGCTTCGTAATCCATGAAAGTCCAAACGAGAGAGTCTCACTAGCAATGATACCATCTCTCTCATTTGATACTTCTATTTATGACGATTTCATGAGCATCGTGTTAATATTCAACTTGATTTTTTTTTTTTTGATAATAATTATTCATCAAAATCAAAAATAAGTTTTCCTTTAATTTTTTCATCGAATTAGTTTAAACAAAATACATTCAAATAAATAAAACTATTTCAACTGTTTTTATTTTTAATAATTATGAAATTTTTTGTTAATTATAACAAATCGCTGAATAATTACAATCAAAATCATATCTCCGGTTCCATCGGAAATTAATTAATCCATATCATTATTCTATTATGGTATTTAATATCATTATAATTAAAAAAAAAAAAAAGATATAGATATAGATCAATCATAAATAATGATAAAAAAACACCAATTGATAAATTCTCTTTTTATCGCACCGTTTTCGAGGGGAAAAGATAACTCTTTGAAATGAATTTTTAATTTTAGCGAGTGCCAATGATAAGATTTTATCAATAATATGTTATTGAAAAACAATTCTGATCATTATCTATTCCATAGAAATTTTCCATCTCGTCATATTTTTAGTTTTTACATGCATTTAAATATATCGATTTAAAAAAAAAAATTATTTTCGAAACACTTTATCAAAAACATAGGGAATCATGTTTAAATATCGTCCCAGGTATTTGGTATAGAGTATTTTTTGATCGGCTTGGTGCTGTCAAGCATTTCAATCTCACGGACGATGCGGCTTGCGGTCATTACTCTACGATTTTGGCAAATCTCGTTTCACGGTCAGTCGCTTTATCGATCTCCTATCGAAACTTGTATCATTTGATAAGCAGAAATTTCAAAAAAGGGATCAGGAAGTTCAAAATTAGAGGAATCCCTTGGAAAATCCATTAGAAGAAGAAAATTCTCAAAATGTATTATTAAAATACAACGAAAACAGATGATGCTCTATAGTAAAAGTTGAGAGGGAAATAAATCTATGTATAAACTGAGAAAGGAACAATATTTGAGTTGAAATGCAATGTTAACCAGCTCGACTTTCTCTTTCTCTACACCATTCGCGTCTCAGGGTTTTACAAAGACCGATGACACTCGTAAGAAAAACGAATGATTTTCCAGGAGATACATCTCCGCAAAAGCGAATATTCCGTTAAGGGAAGAAGCGAAATAAAAACATTAAGAAAGGAGAAAAAATGACAGAGATATGAAAGGGAAAAATGAAGCATTTCTATCGCTGAGAAAAGGTAGAAAACCATAGGAACAACGATAGTAAAAGAAAAAGATTTGTGGAGCTAATTTCCACGACTCCAGTTCTCTTCTTCTGCAGTCTATCCCTGTCACACTCACTCAAGTGATAATTAAGACTCCAGTCTTCCCTTTCCCTTGTCTCTCCAGCTCTCATCTACTCGTCTACATCTCTGTCTAGCTAGATGAAGATTTCTGAAGAAAATGTCGCCTCGAGTTGTCGACCACTACCTTTGCACCAAGAAAAGAAAGCTATGATTAAAATTTTTTCTGTTACTAAACTCACACAGAAAAACTAATTTATTTTATACATGGCTTAAGTTTTATCGATTTATTTCATTACATTTATACTTATTATTTGTTTTTTCAAGGACTAAGATATTTTTTACAATCATTTTTAAACGTGGCGCTTTTTGGAAGATTTAAAACAATATCATTAATATGTATTAGAATATTTTTTTACTCAAAGTTTAAACATCGAAAGAATTATTACTGTAACTTTTTGTTCTCCAGCTCAAAAAGATCCTTTAAATTTCACTGCAATAATTATTTATTTAATTAACTCGGTCAACACACAATATTTTAATGTGAATATTTATCACATTTTTGAAGAGATAATAATTAACTACTTAATAAAAAAAATTTAATTATGGAATGTTCATTGTTGGAAATGAACTATATGAAGAGATATAAGTTTAAACAGTGAAGCTTTTTAATTAAAAATCCAAGTCAATAATGAAATACACCTGCTTTAGTGAGATGAATTTCTTAATAGTGAAATACTAGAGAATAAAACGAGGATGATATTAAATAACATATCTCATCTCGACAAATGACAAATTGGCTCATGAACCGTGTCCTCACTCAGGAACATTATTAGACAATATTAATGGCAACTTGTCCATTTGTTCCTTAGCTTTTACAACTCCTTTATGAAGCGAAGTATCAAACTAGCTCTTGAAAATAAAGTAAATCAAATACAAAGCATTGCTTTGTTGTTGTACAAATATAAATTCCTTCATAAAGGACAATAACCAATTCGCTTTAAATTCCATGCATCACTTGGATACTCTATCGTTTTTGTGTCTCTAATAAAGGTGTACGTAGTTGACAAGAAATGATTATTATCTTGAAATTTCTTTTTCGATATCTTGAGAAAGGAAGACACATCTTTTGAGGATTCTTTTGAATTATTCAGGAGCATGAAGTTTTTCTAATAGTTTTTAGTATTAAAAGTAAAAAAAAATGAATGGAAATGGAGAATTTTTTTTCCAATTCAGTTCACAAGAGGAGATTAAAAACAATTTACAGAGCCAATCAGTCTTGTTCTGTTGTAATGTAATTTTTGAAGAAAAATCTCCGCGTAATTTTTCAAATTGCATTCGTGAGCTTACAGTTTAAACTTCAATTTTTTTCATCAACATTTCATGCTACAATTTTTTCTCTCGTAATTGAGCGATAAAACTGAAAAGATTTTAGTTTGAAACCAAGATAATTCAGTAAAATAAAATCGATACACATTTTCAATAAAAATGATTTTTACATTTAGTGTATGTGCTTTTAAGTTCAATCATGAAAATTATTCTGAAATTTTTCGGGAAAATAAAAATAATAATTTTTCCACTATTCCAGATGGGAGGAAGAATTAAATTCCAGTCAATAATTTGGGTATCATTGCTCATGATAGGAGACGTAATAACACAATACAGAAATATCAGTAAGTACAAATTAAATATTGATTTTTATTAAAATTGAAAAATTACAAAATAAATTATTGTTCTACTTAAATCTAATTTCATAAATATATTTGAATAAATTACTCAATTTAGAATAAAAAAATAATTCAGTTAAAAAGTTCTACTTTGAATCTTATTCAAAGTTCTCTAACGTAATTTCAACTCGAATAATCATGAGGAAACTTAGCGATTCTGTATAATCAAGAGTAATAAATCAATTATTCGTGATATATTTTATTAAATAGAATATTTATGATTTTGGGTGTTATATGTCAGAATACTAATGAATATTTCTTGCACTTGAGAAATAAAATTTTCGTGATGGAAAGAAGTTGATAAATTCTTTGTTCGTCATTCGACTAGTAAACTTTTACGAGAAGGTGAATTTTGGTCTTCTAACAGAGACCACATACGAGATACGAGCATGGAATTTACCCTTAAAGCTCAAAGGCATTTCTTTAGCTATATCTAGCGTGTATAGAACGCAAGAAATGTCGAGTGGATCGAGAAGACGAGGGTTAAAATACACCACAAAATTGAAAGGCTCAACATTGCTACTATCCAACCTTTCACACAGGATTTCCTTTTGCGTTTAGAAAAAGTATATTAAAATATCGTTTATTACTCACTTCACTTAACAAACTAATCTCTAGTTTATTAAAAAAAACTCTATTTATTATAATTGTCTCCGGAAGTAAATATAATTTACGGTTGAAATAATTATATTAAATATTACAGTTGAATAAAAGCGTCATGTCGTGAGGTACAACCTTTTTTTTTCAACGTTGACAACTTTTTTTTTAGTATTTTCTCATAAATATTTATACTATAGAATTTTCTTATCTATCTAACTTTCACATAAATATCGGAAAATACTTCTTGGGATAAATGAGATTTCGTAAAAAATCGCACATAGATATGTAATAAAATGTCTACGTTTACTCAAAATTTCACTAAATTTATTATTAGACATTAACTGAAAAATTGTGACAAAAAAGAAAATATCTTCTTATGAAATCATCAATTTTACAAATATTTTTATTTCATTATTAATTTAACGGTATCTGCTTATCAAAAGTAGTTAAGTAGTAGTATTTACTCTATCAAACGAAGTTAGAATAAGATAACTTGAATTTTATATAAAATTATTTATTTTTAATTTTTCAATGTATTTTAAAAAATAACATAATAAATAACCGTGAGAATATTTTTTTATATTATCAATTTTTCAAAGCTATCTTCTATTAAAAAAATATATCAGCTTTCCAAACTAGATTTACATCATCAGCTTCATATTTTTTTTAGTTATTTGAGTAAAAATTGTCATAGGATATTCCTGAAAAAGGAAATTAAAACTCAAGGATAAAATTACACAAATAATTAAAAATTTTATTGCAGTTTTACTCAAGAATGTGAAAAGTTTTCCAACAGAAATGAATTCTTATTCTTTATTATTAAAAGAACATCTTTGAAAACGAATTTTACTCAAATCCCAAGTATATAGAACATTATAAGTAGACCAAAGTACGTTATCAATGGATAGCACATTGCTCTTCAAAACATGTCAATTTTTATGTCATCAAGTCGTGGTGTTATTAAACTTCAACTCCTCTTTTCTTTTACCACACTATCATTTTTGTCGACTTATCGATTCATGTATATTTTTTTCTAATTTTGAACTTACTTGTTTAGACACTAATGGCATTATCATAGGGTAAAGTGAACTCATCTGAAACACATTATAGATAAAGATATCAATAGCTTAGCTTATATATTGCCAAGAAAATGGGACTCTGGTGTTTAATATCTAAACGACCTACATTTTCGAAAGTTAAAAATTATTCTGAAAAAAAATTATTATTTCAACTAGCTTGTAACTTATTAGCATAATAAAATAACTATTGTTTATAGCAGAGACAAGACATTAATTGAATTAAACAAATGAAATAATTAGATAGGTAACTTAGAAAGAGATGTATATAATTTGCAATTGTACACCAGTGTTACTCTCCAATGTGATGAAATGTATAAAATTTTCATGCTAAGCACATTCATCCTGCTAATACAAGTTTCGAGCAGTGCAGTTTCATCTCATTACAGTAATTTTATGTTATCATGTAATCCTTGTTAAATTAATGAATTACTCGTGTCTGCAACTCGATTCTCTTTAAATAAATTCCAAAAAACTGGATAGTACCACAATAATATATTTGGGCCATTTTTTGTGGTGGATTATTTAAGCTTTCATTTAATGGTACTCACTGGCTTTTTTTACTCTTCACTATCTACGAATATGTCCAGCATTTAAATTAAGCGGTAATACATTTTCTCAAAAATTCGCAATGTAATCAGTTCTATAAACTTGGCAAATTCATTTATGTACGATTACTAGAATTTTATTGCAATCCATTTATTTTAGCTTACAATAATCCTCACTTATTTGACCAATAACTAGTGAAAAAAATTATATAAAAAAATATATTTTTGAATTTTATGATCTGGTTATTCAAAAATAAATTGTCAATCTAATAAAATATAATAGTAAAAAAATAGGATAAACTAAATTTCGATTTAATTTCATTTTAATTCATCACTGACATTGCTCAGTTGTCAACTTATGAGAAGTAAAACCTTTCAAATCTGATTATAAACAACTCATTAATAACTGAATTTATATGATATTTTTGCTAAAAAATTATTCTACAGGAATATTATTTTCATTCCAATTTTGATAGGGAAGAATATACAGATGAAACTAGTTCAGATTTTATACTTGCCATTTATTTTCCATCGTTCTTATTGTAATTGAATGTGAGACGTGATTTACATCAGACAATAGTAAGGAGGCTACAAATTCTCCTATGTGGCAAACTTATTATTGCAGTAGCATAATACAGATATTTATCAAAGTCTACAGGTATTGTATGCAAATAGTTGATCGTTTTATCACAAATATATAGGTCTTGTCTGGTTTCATTATTTGCGATCGTATCGAGGTGAAGGATATTCTGTCAATGATTTGAAATTAAACAGTTGTTTTAATTTCTTTATTACTCTCCTCAATCATTTCTTATTAAACTATTCTCACATTCTATGAAAAACTTTTAAAGTTTTATCGTTAATTAAATAAAAAGAAGACACGTCTTAAATTTAATTAAAAATGTAAGAATGTACTTGACGTATAATCTCAGTATATCTTCATATTGAAAATGACTAGAGAACGTTTATTATTTTTATTTTTACGTTAGAGATTCACAGTTTAACTCTAACATATAGATTAAAACCATAATAAAAAGATATTTCTTTACAAGCAAGAATTTCTTTAGTGTTTCTCGTTTCTTTTTCATAGCTTATGTGTCACTTGCACAGAGAGATCTTCTCTCACAGAGGGATCTCATATAAAAATGCTTGAGGGAGTAGCGGGTCTGTGGAACCAGATACGAGTCGCTTGTATGTAGTATATTATATGTATATTATTGTGGAAAAGCAAACATTGTAATGAACATATACCTGTGAATCTAGATAATAATTATCCACCACGTGATTTCGTAATTTGCAACTTTGAAAAAGTCTACTCCTATGTCGCCTATTTTTCTCTTTCAAAGAATTATTATTTTTTTTACCACAAAAACTTTTCATAACATTATGAGTAGATAGTAAGCTGCAAAAATATCAGATTTTTCCCAGTTCGAGAGAATTATAATTTTTTTAATTAAACAATCATTCGTGGATACCTGTAATACAAATGTTTTTCCAACGATAAAACAGTATATTCATTTCTACATAAAATATTAAACGTAGTAGTTCTTCACGCTTGTTTTCTCATTAAATAAAAATAATTTTCAGGTAAAATAGTGGTTGGGAGCGAATAATTTTAGAAAAATAGGATTTTAAATGTCTATGAGTTTTAGAGCTATGACATTTCTGAAAATTACTGGAGGAGAATTTCGATCGCGGCCATTAAATTTACACAGACCACAAAACATTGACAATTTTAATGTCCTATATAAAATAGGGGCAATTAGGATTTACTATAGTTACTAAAAAACTTGGTGAATTAACTTAACTGAGGCGAAGTATTTTTTAAATCAATTAAAATGAACAAAAACTAACTTTTGTTTCAATTAATTCAAACTAAATTGAAAAATTTTTTCATTATGTTTTAACTTGTATAAATTATTTCACGAGAGCTGTTTCACTTCATAGATACCTCTACATTCTCTTGAAGCATAGAGCTCTCTGCTAACCCATGTATTATCCTGACTTTTGTATCAAGGATATTGCAAAGCAGCATCTTGATCAATCTGTACACAAACATGCAATATGATATTAAAAAATAGGAAGTAATTAATTATAACCAGTAAAAATATCTTTACAATTAATAATATTGTAGCGAGATGAAAGTTAGCTATAAAAATGAAGGATAATATAATTTTTCAACTGCTGCACAAAAATGGAGACGTAATTATTTAAAAATTTACAGTGAAGTATTAGATTCCATATAAATGGATGGAAGAGTCATTTTGTAGAAGTTGAGTCATTTTAGAGTTACCTGTAGCTTCCTCATATAGCTATTTACAATCTCTCCTACACTCGGGTAATTCCAGAGTGTTCTCTCGCAAATCTGATTTTCCAGTTGGCCTGGGGCGAGTTTAGTTCATGAAAAGTGGCATCTATGGAGGAGGTCACTAGATTAAATCACCAAGTATCATTTCGCTAAGGTTTTAAGGTAGTAGCAGCTATATGATAACATCAAGACTACTTTTTACAGTCATAAAATCATTTATATTCATCAATGAAAGGTCTAAGCTTTCTTAGACCCTACTTGACTTTAATATTTACTGATAGTAGAGTCCTTGGGATCCTGTAGTATTTTTCTATAATATAATTCCATACATATAATTATTCAGCTATGAATAATGTATGGAATGATATAATGTACTCACTTTTTATATGTACTTAATAGTTATGAATATATTGGGCTTTTTAAAATCAAAGAGGTAAAATTTTGCACTTGTTTATTTTTTTATGCAAATTTAATTGAGTTGAACGTGTTTGAAATTCAAATTACTACAAGATTAATTAAGAAACATGATGGTTTCTAATTTACTTCTTTTAGAAGAATAAGTTTTGACTCATTTCATTATATCAGACCATTCATACTATCTGGTTCCTTTTGAAACTCATTCAATCTAACCTGGTTCTCTATTAGTTTCCTTCAGAATTAGAACAATTGAAACAATTCACTTCTCACAATTTTATGATGGGAATTTTGTAGATGCTTGAAAATGATATTTTAGTGAGTGGAAAGATGAATGCATTTGAAAAATCATCAAAAGCAATTAAATTTCGAGTAGCAAGTACTTATGATATCGCACAAATACTCAATATTTCTCATTGTTTGACTCTAGAATAGTTGATATTGACATTTATCTTCTACTAATGCTGACAACACTCGGATAATCCTTAACGTCCAATACAAACTACAAATAGAATAAAATATCTGTCTTTATCATAAACTCTCTTCCAAATCCCGTGAGCATACGACTACAAAGCACACTCTGAACAAGATGTGTTTAGAGAAAATCGCGTATATCCTAAATAAATGATATATTGGCTCCTAAATTTTTTTCCACTCAGTTAGTTTCAGAAAAATATGTGAGGAAAATGCCAATATCATATGAAACGAAATATATAGAATCCATGCTATTGTTTCAAAAATAAAGTATTGAGATGACAAGAGATTTATCGTATGATAGTAGAATAGCCGTTGGAAGATTTTGTAGTGAAATAAATTGTATATGCATCAACGAGTAACTTTTTTTTTTCTTCCACTCAACAAAAAAAACATGTCAACAAATATGTTACTAAATTTCCTGCTTTTTTGCGAATTTTTACTTTTTACTATTTTAGTGATATCTGCGGTATTGATTGAAATCTAATGGTTGATCCGGATCGGATGATTCAACGCAAAAATTTAAATTGGAAGGAGAATGCATTTTTTAATGTCAGTGAGCTATTTTTCAAGGCAATTTGAGAAATGGTGAATTCAACTGCATCTTTAGTTTCTCGAGATCTTCCCATTCACTTAGTCTAGTGTTCAAATGGAATTCAAAACGAATTCCAAGTCATGTTAAGAGATGTAAAGTCTTTGCAAATTATGTAAAAAAATTTTTACTCATGGTAATGACGTTGATAAAGAATGTTTAATCGAAAAGTGATGGTGGAAATTTCGAGTACAAAATTCTCTTGGTCAGAATTTATTCATCTGTTTTATTAACTCCCAGGGTGATTAAAAACTTGCAAACTTCTGAATTGGTCTAATAATAATATTTGTTGTCGGTTATTGATTGGCTATGCGTCAGAAGATTTTTTTCTCCAAAGATTCTAAATTTTTTTTCATATGTAGACTGTAGGGTGACCATCGGTTGAACTCTAGGGAAATAAATATGCATCAACGAGTGACAATTTTTTCTCTCTTCAAAAAATATGTCAACGTATATCAATCAAAATTTACTGTATTCATGGCATTTTTGAATGATATTTTTTCCCGATTCTAGTTTTTTTATTTTCAATAAAAAAAAAATTTTTTTTTCTCAACAATAAACTGTGCTAGCAGTTTAATAACTAGTTTATGAATAAAACAGAAGCTTGATAATATAAATAATGGGAGAAAATTGTCATTTGTATATAGCGATGAATTCCTTTGTTTTCTTATCTTCCAGGCACGACACCAAATAGTGATCCGATACAGGCTTTTCTTGCTAGATATCTCCAACGTCGTCTCCAGGGTAGACAGCTATCGACTCCACCTCCACCGTCTGTGTTATTTGCCTCGAATCAACACCGCACGAGAACTCATCAAGCATCCAGACGACACAATGATTTGTCGACACTTTGGACGTTGGAAGAGAATCAAGAAAAACACAAAAAATATCATAGAGATGAATACGACGATTACGAGCATGATCTTGAGGGCTTTGAGGATAGTGACAGGAGTAGAACGAGGATCGATCTCCTTGCTGGTAATTTTATCTACACAATCATCTAGATCTCAATTTTCCCACTTGACACAACAATACTTCATTGAAATATCGATTTTTACCACCTAAATTTCAAGCTGCTTCAGTTAGATTCAAGCGTTTCAATTTCAATCACTGCTTCAGTTTCATCCTGTTTAAAAATAATTAATTTTAATCAGTAATTCAATGATCTATCATATAACAGTGAAAGCATCAATAACGACATTGATGTTTCACTCTTAATGTTCGTTCTATTTTACATATCCAATTAAGCTATTTAATTAATTGAACGTTATTATGTTCTTCAATGTTAATTACTTGTGTAAGAATTTTTTTGTGATGAGAATTTAAATGAACATTAATCACATTATGACATTATTTAACGCAAGAATACTTTCTATAATTAATTATACCAAATTAGGAATTCATGAGGGATATTAAATTTGTTCATATTTCATATTATTTTCAAACTTAAAATAACTAGAGCTATTAATTATTTAACTTTATATAATTTCCTATTTATCAATACTCCTTATCTAAAGCTTATCATGAATCAGTAGCAAACTTTGATTGAACTTATTAGAAATTATTACGGAGTTTATTAACAGTACATGTTATTTAACTTATGAATGATGGTATTATTTGTAGTTAATTTATCTTTTGAAAGAACAATTCTACAACTTATTTCACCTAAAGCATTTCAGTTCATTTGTACTGATTGGTATTGTTCTAAGAGAAAAAAACATGAAAATAGTTAAGTGGTTGAATAGTTTTCTCTTTATTTATACAGCTAATTTAAAAAAAGCTATTTCAAGGAAACGTATTGGAGGTTTCCAAGTTTAAATAAATAAATTCCATGAAACTCTTTCCACTTCTGTAAGCAATACTATTATGAATCAAAATTTTCCACTTGATAAAATTGAAGATTTATTTTCAAGTTCATTACATCAAGTAGGTTTGAAGAAAATGAAGTTTCTGCTAGCTTTTAGAAGTAACAAAAAGAATAAAAAATTCATTTGGTAGCTCTAAGAGCTTGTCAACTGAATTTATTGAAGAGGTTTGAATATTTTCAACTTCAAATACTCTTAACGGTGAAAAATATTATCAAGAATTTTTGAAAAATAAATAAAACAGCCATAGATAATAAAAAATCAGAATATTTGACAACATTAAACGAGAGAAGAAGGATAGGAATAGAGTGAAAATGCGCTTGGTAAAATTATGCTTGACTGCCAATAGTGAGATAACAAGGGTGAACAGAAGCGTGCATTGACGTCACTATGCTCTCTAGTGCTCTTATACTACTTAGGATTGGCTTGCTCTCAACTGAATCGAACAGAAAGACCCGCTTGAGTTAGCAAATTCCAATCCAACGTGCCAGTTATAATTTCAAAACTTCACACAATAAACGCAATTTTGCTTTTGAAAACTTAATGCTTTGATTATACGCCTTAAGCATTTTATTTACTGTACTATAAGTTATTTTTCTGCCTTTTTTGGCCTCGATCACAGGGAATTATAAAATTAAACTTTATCCTGTAAAAAAGAGAACTCGCTATGGCATTAATCGGTTTTTTTATAGTAAATACTGAATTTACCCCCAAGTTTTGAGATAGTGAGTTAAACTTTACCTGGTGGCTATCGGAAATTCTCGGAGCTGATCGAATGTGATATCAAACTTGAACTTTTAATCGAGCTTTTCCACATGACCGACGATATTGTAGTAAAAAATAAAATAGATTAGAGAATTATTGCGGGGGTAAGATAATACCGATCAATTGAACAAATAAAATTAAAACAATTATTCTTACCAATTTTTAGTATTGACGACTCCAATTAAAAAGAATTTTACTCAAAAAAGTTTGATCAAGTACAAACAATCATAGATTTATTTGATTTCATTGATGTTGTGTTGAATTTTTCAAGAGATAAATCATTGTTTACATTGTTAGTTTTATTAAGACCTCTTTTATTTATTGATGATAAAAAGTTTTTTATTTAGTACCATTTGATAAAATATTGCTATCAAACTTAATTTTCCATTCCCTTACTTTTCGATATTCATATTCCTATTTACGAGAAAAGCTGTTACATTTCATATAAAAATAGAAGTTGATGTGTTTATTGTCTAAGACTTTTGGTGTTATAATACCAATAGAGTTGGAAATTTACGAGATCGTTGTGAGTTTATTCGACAGTAAATTTTCAGTAATATTGTTAACGATATTTTTTCTATCATTTTATTTACCTTTGATTGTTGAAACACTAGAAAAAGTATATTGGAATTTGTTAATTTCCCAAGTACTATTACGAGTCAATACTTGATAATTGAAACTCATTAACTGAGTTTCATTTCAAGAGAATAATTTACATTGAACATTCTTTAAAGCTGTTTATTATCTTCAATAAAAAAAACTCTTTTACCGAAGAATTTATAAAAATAGGATTTACTAATAATACCGGAAAATAAACAAAAAGATGTATTATTTTTAAATTAACCAATAACTATAATGATTAAAATTAAAGTGTAGAAAGTGACTTCTCGTCAACTTATTGGATTAATGGATAGATGAAAAATAAATGTATATGATAATAGTGCATAATACGTTATCATATGTGGAAAACCACAGAGACTAATTGCTCCCAGCAACGTGCATCCGTGGCACATTTAGTATCTCATTTAAGCTGACACTACTATTCAGCATACCATATCTTCCGCATCTGTAATGTAACACATTTACTACCCTTTGACCTTCCTATTGTATACCTGCATGTTCACCTTCCGGCAAATTTAAGAGACGGGCATTCCGGAAGTAATTAATTTCGATATTATCCTGATGTGACAATGAAAATTATTCGGCCTCGTTATCATGCAGGATATACCGAATGAATTATACTCTCGGACCTAGCAATCAATACAGATAATTTGCAACAATGACAGATTATATTACAAAAACTACTTCATTTTAATAATATTCATGTTAAATCATTCGTTAATTAACTGTTAATCACGACCCCGTCCTTTTTCAAGCTATATGCTAAATTGTCCAAGTTTCATTATAGCATAGAGTAAAGAGTATTTGATTTCCAGTTTTGATTGTTGAAATATATTCTTTAATCATACGTAAAAACACAATATTTGGACGTAAATAAAAGCTTAAACTACTCATTCATTGAAACATAATCCGAAAATAATAGATATAAGCTTCTTTATTGATAGATAAGTAAGATAATATTAAATGTTAATAATAAAAGTATTTTGGTACGCATGGTAGCCTGAATTTAATAGTACTCTTACGTAAATACTGCAAGTATACACAAACATTGATGATATTTATTTAATCCACCTTGTTGGTGTTTGGTTTTAATTCTTTTCATAATATTTCTACTACGTACATACTTTGAAAATTTTATTAGTCATGATAACAACTATTTATTTCTGGTACAGTGCTTTATATTTGAGCTTTTGAGTAGAACCATCTACTTACAAGTGAGCTTGCAGTATTTCTGCTACAGCTTTTCCAAAGCTTTTATTCATGTGGTCTAAAATAAGGTAAAAAAATTCAACCTTGGGATTGTTTCATTAGCAATGCTATAAATTAAAAAGTTCGAATTTCTAAACAGTCATAACTCTTATCAATGCCGTGTTGTGCTCTAGCCAATTTCTTCAAACTTTGTGCCCAGTTTATAATTATTCTGTTCAATTGTTTATTCAGAATCGGTGCTTGATTCTTTCCCAACTCTACTACCATGAGCTATCTTTGTTTCAAAATTTTCTGCAACTTTGTGACTGTGCCCTGTTAATTATGTCTGCTACCATTGCAGATTTTTAAATATGAATGAAGCTTTGTTCTTCTTAACAAACTTTTTGATAATTATTTGTCTAACAAAGTAAAGTCTGAATTTATTTTCAATGAACAATTATGCTAATTTACAAGGTGCCTTTTCCAAAGATTTCATAGCTTGATTTATAAGGTTTTCACATGAGAAATTCAGATCAAGAGTCAGATATAAACTGCATGGAGAGAGAAATTTGCTCTACAAATTTCTCTCCGTTTACGACATCTTATTTTATATTAGATAAGCCTTATAAGATAGTCAGCAAGATTAATTTTTATGATTATTCGACTCATGTTATTTAATCACTGTTTGTTTCATTTATCTTCAGATGCTCAACTATTCGAAACTAGGTGAAGATCAAAGACAACTCAGTCTTTAGAATATATTATCTTCTACGAGTTTTGAAGTTCTATAGAGCATGTCATGTCAACAAATATTAATTAATATTTTATTAAGCGATAAGAACTTTATTAATTATCACTTTTAATTATTCATTGATTGATGGAACAATTTATTGGAATTTATCTACAGTTTTAATTAATTAATATGAGCCATTGTTCATGAAAAAAAGAATGTAAAAATTACCTGAATGGTTTGTTTATTAAAATTTCAAATTATTGAAATTTTTTTGTTGGAATTTACATGATTTAATTCACAGTATTTACTATTTAAAAACAATTTCAAATGTTATTTTGATACAATTGGAATGCTTTTTCAATAAATTTCAGATTGAATTTTCAAATATTCGTTATACAATGAGCATGAATTGTTACACAAAGAGAAAGATCGAGTAAAAATTATCCCACAATGTAGTGTAATATTGGTATACTCCACAAAAATAATAAAATTTACCATGCAACATCGTAAAACTTACTTTGTAAAATAGAAGTTTTTTAGAGTAAGACAAAGCATACTATCTTCCAGGGTAAATTTTATTTTTTCGACAGTGAGCCACAATTACCCTGCACAATAGGGTGATTTCTACTGAATTTATTTTCTATGTGAAGAAAAAATAAATAAACACATTTTATAATCTACATCATAAACAAGTAAACAAAGGATAAAATTTTTAATCAATTTTTCAAAAATTAGTAGCTAATAATTTAAAAACATACATTGCTCTTGTAATTTTAATAAATCAAAAACCAAGTGTATAATCCGAA